CTTGTACAACTGAATATATAAGTTACAAAAAAAAAAAAGAAACTCAAAACCTTTAAATAATAAGCACCTTCATAAATTGAACACTTTCAGCTAATCATAAAGATGTCCATATTAAGGAAGTTTTACTATATACGAAAATACTAGAGCGTTGTTCACCGTATTCATGATGACATGAATTTTTATAAGTTTCTATTTTTATAAAAATATAATAGACGTTTTTTCTTTGTAGATTATAAATCATGTCAACAGTTGAAGATAATGAAAATGAATCTCCTTCTACGGATCCTTCAAACTCAGCCGTGAATAAGGAAGAAGGCGATACAAGTTCGGCACGTTCTGGTCCAAGTAATGATTCTGAAGGTGGGGCAAAGGTAGTTTTTCTGCTTAAAGCAGCAGGTGGTGCACCAATATTAAAAAAGAAAAAATGGGCATTACCAAGAACAAAAACAATCGGTCATATTGTTGAATTTTTAAAAAAATATATGCAACTTGATGCCCAACAACAACAACAACTATTTCTTTATGTCAATCAAGCATTTGCACCAGCACTTGATACAACAATTGGTTCAGTTAATGATAGTTTCAGTAGTGAAGGAACACTTGTCTTACATTATTCATTAACTCAAGCATGGGGATAAAAAAAAGAAAAAAAAACTCAATTATTTCTATGAATCTTTTCTTTCTAATGTACATAAATAAATAAACGAGAATATCATAGAAAATATACAAAAACTTTAAAATATCTGTATTCAATGATAAATCAGTCATATATAAAGAATCTATTTGTACTTAATATGCATTGTAGATTGATGTTGTGGCATTTGATTAGAAAAAATATTATTCAGAAAAGTTCACATATTATTCCTATTTGCTCAATGTCGTCATCATCATCATCATCATCATCGTCTAATGAAATATTTACCAATGAATTCATTCGAAAACGCTTAATACCTTATCTTGATAAAACACCGAATTATGTTGATGAACTTTCTGAAAGTGTCCCACGATTAAAACGATCACGTCGAGCATCTGTTCTTATTCCTCTTTATTGTAATCAAACAACGAATCGAGTAGAAGTTTTACTTATGAAACGATCAGAAAAAATGCGATCACATACAGGAATGGTTGGTTAGTAATAATATTCAATCGTTCCCGACAAGTAAAATCTTTTTTTTTTTGAAATATTCTACAGCTTTTCCTGGTGGAATGACTGATCTAACAGATCGTGATTCAATTCATACAGCTGAACGTGAAGCTGAAGAAGAAATAGGTCTTGAACCACATCAATATTCAATAGTTGGTTGTCTTCTTCCATTAACTGATTCTCGTCTGGTTATAATAACACCTGTTGTTGCTTTACTTCATTCACCAAAATTTGTTGATTTTCGTTTATCACTTGATGAAGCATCAGATGCATTTTATGTTGATCTTGAACAATTTCTTTTTGCAAATGAAAATTATAAAATGTTAGAAGTTGGAGATGATTTTGTAACACATCATTTTAATATTGGTAAATATCATATATGGGGTGTTACTGCTTATCAATTAATTTTAATAGCAACATTAATTTATCAACGTATACCACAATTTCCAGTTTTTCGTCATGAACAATATTTAGATTTAAAACAAATAAAACAACAACAAATGAATTTTTTTCGATTATGTGTTGATTATCGAAATAGAGATAAAATTAAAGAACATAATAAAGAAAAAAGTCGTCTATAAATTTTATCCAAATAATTCTTTTTTTATTTTGCTCTTTAGTTTAAACCAATTTGTATTATTTGTGTGATATTGTTTGGATTATTTTATTATTAAATAAAAATCATGAGAATTTGATTTCAATTTAGTAGAAATGTTGTAAGATAAACATACGATCGTATTAGTATGATTTAAAAGGAAGAAAAGTTAACAATGTCAAATATTTCACACAACTAATTATTATCTGTTTCAGTGTTGAAAAAAAGTTAATTTTTGTACGTTGCTTATTTATGTTATGTCCACGAAAAAAACATCATTGATAAAAGCAAACGATCACATTTACAAGGAACAATCGACAACGATACATTAATTCAACAGTTGTTTGCAAAAAAAAAAAGAAGACTTGCATAATATTAGAAATTTCATTTTTCTAGGATTTTCGTTTGAAACCATTATCAACTTTCTCCTTGTTGGTGATAATGCTTCGATGATTAAACAAAGAAATGATCTTATAACAAAAATACATTTGGTTTTATTTTGAATATATATAAATGAATAATGCCAATCTTCTTCTCGTCTAAGAATCTATTATAATTACACATGAGAAACGCAGGTAACGCACAGACATTTTTTCAATTTCAGAAGTGTATATCTCGACAATTAATGAAGCTAGAGAGTTGAAACTTTTAAGAAATATGTATTCGATGGAATTCTTCTTCCCGTAATCATTTCAAGTTTCTATCTTTATGCAATCGAGTTTTACACAAAAAATATTGGTCGGTAACGCACAGACAAAAAAGGCCCTCGTTCTTAAGAAGACACGAAATAAGTAAAAATTCCTACGAATTGCTTCATGTTAATGAATTGTAGTAGTGAGACTTTTTGTAGCTAAGAATCGAAGCTATCTTTTGCTGAATAGATAACATTGATACCTCGAAAAATGAGTGAGTTATTGACAGAGTATTAGGTAACGCACAGACATGATTTTTTTTCGAATAGTTTCCAAATTTAAAAATATTACTTTGTATTTAGAAATTTCTCTTCAGAATATTAATATTATGATGTTCATTTATATTTTAAGCAACTACTACTGCAGTTTTAATATCAATATTTTAAATAATGTTTAAATAAGTTATTGTTAAAAACAAAACGATAAGTTCACTTTCTTAAAATATAAATCAGAAGAAAAAAGTCTACTTCGATGTTGAATCGCCGTACATAGGACACTCGATAACATCCGGACGAATGGGAATGACATTGTACAATTTCTGAGTATTTTTGACCGGCTTCGTCTTAACGAATAACTGTTGAAGTTTTAGTTTCGATGGATCAATCTCAGTTTGAGAGATTTCATTGATCTCAATAACGTTGCTGTTTTTGAGCCGCAGTGTGCTTCATTGTGATGAACGTGATGAAAAAAGTAACAATGAGAGAGATATACTCGCTTTATTTGACTTCTTCACACAACAAATCGTCCCCCTTACACATAGAACACACGCTTAGATATGAGGGATAGACAATGAACTACAGTCAAGCGTAGCCGTCGCACGAGAAAAGAACGGTCACACGGTCAATAGAGAGAATTAGATAAAGATAAAGGTGTTACATTTCGTTACATTCATATAGCAGATGTTCTTCAAATTTCTGGAAACGAGATGAATTTGCTATATATCAAAGTAATTTAGAAGAAAAAAAGCATAATTCTTGATAAAGTTTTCTAGAAATTCCAGCCAAAACTTCTGCACTTTTATTTTCTATACTTTATTCAGATCAATTAGTCAACAATAAAAACTATACAGAATTACCTTGCATGTTAAGTTTGAGTTGAAACAAACAACTTTCAGTGGATCTATGAATGCGTTTTAATATGAAGCATTCAAGAGTCGCGTCGGTGCGTTACTGAGTTTCTCAGCTTTAAAGCACTGTTATGAAAAACCGATATGTGCATTAGATAGCCTATAAAAATTTAGTGGAAAATCACCGAAAGTTTTATAATAAACAGTTTTATTTTAGTAAAAAAACTAACTAAACTTGGTTTTTCGGAAGAACTTTTCTCTTAGCAAAAACAATCTACAAAACTTTTAAATAGATGAGAAGAAAGCCCAGATTTTGGGCTTCAAAATGGTATAAGACAGTTGATGATCATCGCTTTCTTTGTTTCTTTAGATACGTTTTTCTGTGTGGCTTGATCAGCCATTCAATATTAGCAGTGATCATCAATTTTGTTTCGTCCATGTTTTTTCATTTAATAAACGTCAACAGATAGAATGAAAGACAGCTTCATATGCAAAAAAGTTTCCTATACAATATGATACCTGTTAATTTTGTCTACTTTTAACTTCTACTTTAACCATTCTGGTTGACCGTTAGCCGTTTTTCATGTATATATTTCAAGTACAAAATACAAAAAGACTAAATAGACAAACGTCGTGCTTATGATCTTATGCTTTTCGAAATATAGACGGTTCGATAATTCATGCCGATTCTTTCGTCTATAGCATGAGTTCTAGAACGAAAGAGATCTCGACAGATCTTTATCACTCTAAAAATTCTTCATTCTCTTATTTCTTGTTGCCCGATTCTATCACTTCATTTACAGCCCTTGTTTTTTTCTTATATCCATACAAGTGCTAAACATGAATTATTGAATAAAAATGGTGAACACAATTTTGTTTTCAGCAACGCATATAATTCGAAATGCATGATACAGCACACATTTTCATTGCTATCTATGAGTGGCTGACGCCACACATACAAATGTAAAGCAAAGCTTTATCTATTATATATAGAAATATACAACGAATGACAAGTAGAATACTGAGTGAGTGATCAATAACTTAGAAAAAAAAAATTACTTTGGTATGTTTTCTCTATTGAAAAAAAAACTCATTAGAATGATAATCATATATCTAACGGCTTTGATAATGCAATTGACACACATGTATGTGCCAACATTGGAATAGAAAAAAGAAATTTATTTAGAATTAAATGATGAGAGGTATCGTATGATTATTGAAAAGACCATATGTCTTTTAGACATATTTAAATAATAATAAAAAATTGCATAAAAATTGTCTGGTTCATATATTTTTTTATTAATAAATTATTTTATTTATCTATTATATCGAAATCAATAAATTTTTCATTATAAACAAGTATTTAGAAAAAGAATTTCAATTTCTATTAATATATATAGTTTTTTTTCTATTCAATAATCAATATCTATGAAACCAAACAAAAATTAAATTATTCAAAAAAAATTTGTAGAAAATCTAATACTGATTGAACAAAACGAATTTTTACGATTCTAATTGAGCAGCTCGATCAGTTGCTGCTGTTACTGTTTCCATTAGAGCTGCTCGAACAGCAGCTTTTTCCATGATTTCAAGACCATAAATAGTTGTACCACCTTTTAAATAAATATTTTCATAGATAAAATTCAAATAAAATTTAAAATATTTTTTACCTGGACTAGCTACTGCATCTTTCAATTGACTTGGATGAAATTGTTGTTCTTTATCAAGTAACATTTTTGCTGTACCAAACATCGTTTTTGAAGCTAAAGCCAATGCTAATGGTCGACTTAAACCTGCTTTTACTGCACCATCAGCAAGTGCTTCAACCATAACAGAAAACTAAAAAAAAAATATTCTTCAAAAACAAATATGTATCTTTATATTACAAATCATACATAAGCAGGTCCACTACCACTTAAAGCAGTGACTACATTGAGTAAATTCTCATCAATTTCACCTTCACATGAACCAACAGATGAGAAAATCGCATTTACTAATGATCGATCCTCTAAATTTTCAATAAAATACATCATTAATGATAAATGAAGTGAATAAAAGAATTTGTTTCTTTTTTACCATCAGTAGCACATTGTCCAGATGCATAAACACTACAACTAGCATTAACTAAACAAGCTATATTAGGCATGACACGAACTACTCGACTGTTTGGTTTAAGAAACTAAAAAAAAAGAAAGACTTAATATATATTTTTCCTATGTTTGTAAAAATATTTTAATCTAAACAAACTTTTTCAATAGTTGTTGTTCGAATACCAGCTGCAATTGAAACAAGTAAATGATTCTGTGGAATGAAGGATTCTCGAATATCATTTAAGACACTTTCAACATCTTTTGGTTTAACAGCTAAGATAAGTAGACTACTTTGTTTGACTACTTGTTTATTATCAGCTGTTGTTGTAATACCTAATTGAGACTAATTCAAATAAACAAATAATATTTTAAATGAACAAATAAAACAACTGACTGTTGCTATTTTTCGTTGATTTTCATCAACATCACTTGCAATTATTTGATCTTTTGATGAAACAACATTTTGTTCAATAAGACTTCGAGCTAGTGCTTGACACATTCGACCAGCACCGAGAAATCCAATTTTTACATGAGATAACGCTACAATAAAATATTCATCTTAGTTTAATTATCTAATTTAATTTTTTTTTCATAATATATTAAATATATTAAACTTAACTATTAATTTATACTTGAAAATAACTAAATTATTTAAGTGACATTTAAAATATACGTACCTTTGCTCTCCATTGCAACAAAAGATAACACAAGAAAAAAAAAAAAGAAATGAATAAAACACATACACATATTATAATATAGGTTAACCACTTGTTATCATTTCTTTCAAAGTTGATATAGCTTAAATAAACTTATACTGATTCAGTATAACGAAATCAAAGAGATAAACTTTCAACATTATTTATATATATATATATATGAAGTACTTCTTTCAATTTATTTACAAAGTAATCGATAAGTTTTTTTTTTCGTTTATCTTTTTGTATTTTTTTTATGATGCATGTGATGAATTGTTTGTTGATGCAATTTCACTTTCACCAGGTTGACTGGTTCGAACTTTTTCAGTAGGATTTTTTTCACGTGATATTATTTCACGTGTTTCTTGACAAACAGCTAATGGTGAAAGTATGCAAGCAGCTAAAAAATCACTTGGCTTTTCTTCTAAACCATATTTTTCACGCATTTTGGCACGCATACGCATATGTACAAGACCACATGATAAACAAGATATTAAAATTGAATATGCACAACAATATACACAACATGAAGCATTACTAATTTTAACTGCATTCGTACCAAATAAACAAGGTGTACAGAAAATACCTTTGCAACAAATTGATGATGAGCTACATACATTAAATAATGATTCTATAAATATTATAAAATTGCAATATAGAAAAAAAAACAAGAATAAAAATAATTACCTCGCCAAGGTTCCTTTTGAGAATCTGTATTCATAATAATTAATGTAATGCTGAAACAAGACGAAATGAGCGAGCGCCTTATTTTTACATTTGCTTCATTTTATAGTCTTTGAGTAGTATTGTATTAATTTTTTGATTATATAGAAATTATACTATTGAATAATCATATTGTTTCATTATAAAAATTTGAGAATTGATGGTTGTTTGTATTTAACTATTAATGAAATTAGTTCTTATACTTAAGTAATTATTCATAAAAGAATTTTGAAATTATGTTGAGTAAATACAGTGACTGTCTTCACATGCATTATAGAAAGATTTATTTAATACGGATGGGTTGATAAATACACGAAATGAGAAATAGTTCGATAACTTCTATGACATTTTTTTTCTCAATTAGAAATTTAGGAAAAACATTCATAATCAAAATTTGTTCGCTAACAGTTGTTTTAATTTCAATATGACTGAGTTGATCAAATTTATTGACACCAAATACTATGAATTAGTTTAAACCATGAAGAACGATGGCAAATAAATTTGGTCAGAAATTAACTTTTGATTGAACCTAGGAAGATGGAGTCTTCGACTTGGAATGAATGATCAAATACCTTACTGAGAAAAACATGAAACAATGAGTAGCCAATGTTGTAGGTTTTGACTCAGCAATCATTGGTTCTCATTTGTCATTATTAGGATTTTTCCATATCATAGTTGAAGATATATGTTATGTTGTTCTGTCTATTCAAGTCATGATAAATTCATGTGTCGAATTGCCGATGTTAGTTATTACTCTGCATGGCTTGGACCCTTTCGTTTAACAAAACTGATATGAATTAATGTTGATTACTCACTATCGGATAGAATTCATATTTTCACAATGAGCATATACTATAATTGTTCATGACCTTGTTTCAGGTAGTTCTTTTTGATGAATGACTTAAAGTTAATATCGGAAATGTAAAAGATTGTTCATCATGACCAACAACTGGCATTGAATGTCAATCATTTAGTAAAACTCGACGAATTGCATTCTATGTTGTTGACTCATTCAGCAGTTCAAAATGTCAGTGCAGTACCGTGTATACACTTTTTTTAGCAACGTGAACTTAATTCTATTGAAGTACTGTAGTGTTTGAAGTTGTCAGTTGTGTGAATAGGATGTGACTAGCAGTGAGAATATTAGAGTGAGGTGGAGTGTAAGCCTGAAAAATAAGAAGAATGTTCAACTGAATTCTCTTGTTTCCTCACCTACACCTTCACCGTCACATGTCGTATGAGTTACCCACACTCACACCCTTGCGTACTTTTTTTTGCTCGATCAAACTTTGATGTTATAGTATTTACCTGCATGCTATTCTTTTTTTCCTTATCTTCTCTACTATGAAGCGTTTATGAAGTGTATGAGATGAATAAAAACTCGACGCACATGAACAAAGTCATTTGCAAAGAACCAAAATATGTTCAATTGGTAGCAAATTACCGACATGCACAATGTGTGCGAATACTTGGCAAAATGAGACGATACAAGTTCGGTAAGATTTCAACGAGGAATGATGTTCTACTTACTAAAATATTTATCTAACATTTTTATATTGCAAAGTCTAACAGATAATTCCAATTTGCTGAAGAACGGATAAGAAGAAGTATTAGAGTTTCAACTATTTTTAAAAGGTTGATAATTAAGAAAAACAGTCAAAAATTACACACTGTTATAACTAGGATTACAATGATGCATGTATTTGTAACCAACGTTGTCATATGTTTCTATGTCGAATGCAAATATACCTGTATGAGAAAGTATTTGTCTTTGTATGACTCGATCGTAATATAAAGATTGAGAGGAGCTAAGAACAAAAAAAATTCAAAATCACAAATTATTCTGATTTCAAATGTTATTCTCTAACTATAAAATAGTAATTTGTTCGCAACATATTTCAAGAGACAATTTAGATAACATTTGCTGTACGTATAATTATTCATCTTTTATTTTAAGACGAAATCATTTTATCAGATTAATCTCTATTCTTTTTCATTTGCCTAGACTATTCTCTTTTGTCAGTCTCCACACGTAATATATTGACGATCGAAAAAAAAAAATTACATGATAAAAAAGGCCAAGGCGGTATTATTCAAGAAAAGAAAATTGAAAGAATAAAAAGTACAACCAATATTCTTTAAAATATATTTTTATTGCTCCTATAAACGAAATTTGACATTACATACGTTTCACTGTTATCTTCTTTCAATGCAAAGATAAAGTGTAGCGCTTCTTACATTAATAATAAAATACAAGTGAATTATGACACATGGTTGGCTAATGTGAGTATACATTATTTATGGGTATAGATTCGACTCATTATTTAAATTAGTTTAAAGTCATGAACAAAGTTAATAATTATGTTAATTAGTGATTTTTAACCAAGCTGCTTCTATATAAGGTCTACAGCAATAAGAATGATCGAAACTTATTACTACAGCTAATATTTATAACGAAAAAATCTATAAATGCTAATTTTATGATCTAAGAAAAATAATTTCAGTAAATTTTCTCCCAACATTAAAATGTATGATTGAAGTTAAAATGGTTAGTAGTCACAGAACAATTCATTTTTCGACAGAAAACTTGATGGATTCAAGATCAAAAGTCAAAACTGAAGCAATTTAACTTCGTACACGGATAGAAAGTAGCGAAGAAGAATTTTCAAACAATAAATTAAATATAATTCAAACCACGTATGATAACCAAATGAAGATTTTCACTTTAAAGAATTCGATCATGTTATTCATTTCGACAGCGATTTTCTAATTAATCAGTCTATAGAATTAGTTTTTCACGTAGAGTGGAGTGATACAAAGTAGCAGAACGCAGAAATAATAAAAAAAAATGAATTTTTAAACACAGTGAATGACACTAGTGCACAATACTCTGGATTCTATGACGACTAAAACTATTCTAATTTTCTAATGCAATCACGAATAAAATGAGTAAGATATCTGATAGAAATACAGTCGATTTCATAGATGTCCTAATTTTTTTCTAAGATTATTTAGCTATAACTTAGATCAAAGGAAGGAATTTCGGTCGGATTCAGGGGGATCATCGTCAGTTTCATCATATCACAAGTAATGATATATTTAGTAGTGAGAATGTGTTGAAAACTTTCGAAACTTGCTCCATGTTCTGGAAGTTTTTCATCTATAGAATGACTTCGATCTGTCTCGAGGAAACTCACACTTTTCTATTGCTCTTGTGTCAGACATCCCACTCGATTCTTTGTCCATGCATAATTTTATCGTGAGAGTCCATGAGAGAAATATTACGAGACAACAATGCAGAAATTATGATGCTACTGAATTCTAGACTACTTGCATTAGACATTTTACAATGACCGATCAATTCAAACCTAGTTGTACTATACATTTGACTCAGCTCCTTGTTAATTACACAGGCAATCCATTATTTTGATATAATGTGCAAGAATTTTCGAATGTAAGATCTTCGATGTTTGCTAATGATGTGAGGACACTACTAATGATAGCCTAACCATACTGAGCGATGCTATAATTTTATGACTACTGGCTACTGTGGAAGAAAGAAGCTTGATATAAATATAAATAGTAAGCTCCTATTTTTCATGATTTAGTTAAATTGCTTAACAATTTGTGTGTTGATGAACAAAGTCTACTAGAAAGAGGTATATTCTACCATTGAAGAGAATTTGTATCAGTCTCCGTTTCTGAGTACATCCTTTATGTGGCATAAATTCTTCCTTAATACTATCTATTGAACAAGCAATGAGAGGATTCATTTTTTTTTTGCTATGTACTTCAAAATGCATTCGAAATTATATTTCATAAAAAGAGTCTTCGGAGAATGTATTCAAATAGTAATGACTCTATCAAACACTAAAAACATATCGTTCATAGTAAATTTAGAGGCTGGATGATGTGCAGTTGCTTTGTGGCTTTGGTTGAAAACCGGCTAATGATGTTTTATATTTATGGAAGTCATATGATTTGGTCACCTTCTGCATTTCTATGGATATTAGTAACTTTTATTCCCGATATATTCGTTTTTCTCATCCTTTTCATCCTGCTAATTTACGTTCGATGGAAATGGCTCGATTCTAATCGATACTATACTCTATTTGGCTTAAGTTTTGCATCGTTCGTTCTTGCAATTCTCTCATCTAACATTCTACTGCTGATAAGAACAGGTAAGTTCTTTTTTCTCATTATCATTAGACAATTTTATTAAACTATACAATAATGAAAGGTCATACCATCGACTGGGAATTGATCTTCGAATTGAATATAGCATCCACTGCTATTCTTTACTGGCCTGAAATATTCAAATTTATGTTTATTTTATTCTCACAATTGTTTCTCGGTATGACACTATGGACTAAAGGACATTTCTTTGTTCGAAAAGGAATGAATAGTCGTTACGTTCGTACATTACATAGCCGTTATAGTGTTGTTGGTATTGTTTTTGGACTTTTTATAACGTACTCAACTATTGTTGTCTTCTATCCTCCAGTGCACTCGTGGAAAGAACCCTCAATAAACGTTGTATTGAATTTATTCTCAGCAACATTTAAATATTATACAAAAACTGAAAACACAGTGCAACTCTACTGGGAGCAAAATGAAATTAATTTTGTAGAGCGGCTAATTCGTGCTCCTCATGTTCAAATATCTCAACCATCTACAATTTTGAGGAAGCCAATTAAACATGTCTTCCTTATTATTTTGGAATCCATTCGTGCTGATGCTCTGCCGTTAAGCGCTAAATTTGCTGAAAGTATCAGAACCAGTTTTCGTGCTAATGTAACTGCGGATGATGTAACTCCGTTTTTAAATTCCCTATGGAATCAATCCGTTCATACTACTGCTACCACTGTTGCATCATATACATTGAAAAGTCTTCTCAGTACACTATGTGGTATCTATCCTCTTAATATCGATTTCTTAGAAGAGGTCAACCCGAAGAACAAATTTTACGAAACCTGTCTACCAGATCTACTTAGAAAAACGTTTCATACATCGAAAAATCAGTCATCTTTTCGGTCGGCTTTTTTCACTGCTGCCCGTGACAATTTCGATCGTCAGCGAGAATTAACTAAACGGATGGGATTTGACAACATTTACAGTGGCTTTGAAGTTGCTAATCGAATGGGATCAGTGCCCGATGTTGGCATGTTTGGACCATCGGATTCGAACATCTTACCTCTACTATGGGATTGGATTGATGACACTTTAGATGAAGACAAAGAACGTCAGCTAATGCTTAGTCTGCTATTGACTGGAACACATGATCCATTTGTTATGCCGTCTACTGAACCAATCTATCATGATTATATTGAAGATACACGCGTAAACAAATACCTCAATACAATGCGCGTAGTTGATGGTGTTTTGAAAACTATCGTTGATGGTTTGAAATTTCGACAAATGTACAATGAGACATTGATCATCATAATTAGTGATCATGGATATGCATTTCGTGATTGGGGTAGAAAATCTCTTGCTGCTTGGAGAGTACCGTTCGAATGTGGATTTTTGGTTCCACTAATGCTACATAATCCATATTTAGAAGCAAAGCAACTCGACGCACAATATACGAATATGGATATCTTGCCGACAATTATGGATATATTATTGTCATCACAGAAGATTGCTCATGAATCAATCAATTACCTACTCACTGTACGACAAGACCAACTTAACTCAATTTTATCGCGATACGAGGGAACATCTCTTCTTCGTCTATCTATTGAACAAGAAACACAACGATACACGTTTCATCTAGACAACCCTGGTGATTCACATGTTATTGTTAAACAATATCCACGAAAGCTCGTATACGATGTTCATTATGATGAAGTACATCTCTTTCATCTGGGATATGATCCTCAAGAATCTATTGATTTAATCTTGTTTGATCGTCCTGATTATATAGGCACCTATCCTGATTGGCTCCTAGTTGATCAAAGTCGGAATTCGTTACGAAACTGGTTAGGACGATGGATCAATACGAAAAATAATCTTTCTGCTAATCATAAGAAATTACTTCGTAAAAGATTCAGGCAATCGATGTCAGATTTAAGACAAAATGTCAGTAGAATATCATTGCAAGATATGTTAGATTGGGCAGATGCAACCTTGGAACTTGCTTCTGTGTGGACAGCGCTTGTGAAAGTACGTTATTTCTACGGGAATATGACTTTTAATTCTTTGAAGCATCATTCGTAATGAAGAATAAAACTAAGATCCTTTCAGTTCACTCATTTTGCTATTGAGAATCAACACTTAAAAAATAATTTGGTAATTTTCGGCTGTATGAAGATGGAAAGAACGTTGTTCTATTTTAAGAATTAATCAGATGGAAAATATCAGTCAACATATCGTCTTGTCCATATGTTTCATTATTATTTCATTTATTCATTCTTTTTTTTTTCATTCAAATATTGTTATGTGTTATTTGTGTTTTTTTATTTATTTTTGATTTGCTTCATTTTCTCACTTTTATCCTGAGTTTTACCGTCTATTTTCGTTGAACCAAAAAGTTAAATCATCAGGGTCATCAAAAACGAATATCATCAAGCAAGAGTTCGCATTTAAACAGAACAGTTATGTGAAATATCATATATATATACATATATACATACTCCAGGGTTGTATAGAACATCATGAAGCTTCTTTTTATTCTTTGGCAACGACATTATGTGTCGTTTTGCATCATAGGAGTCATTCATAAAGAGAAAATAATTGATTGATTTATGGGCTTAATTTTCTTTTTCTCGAAAAGTCAATACTCATCTAGAAAGTACACTAGAAGTTGCTGCTCTCATGCATCTTTCAAAAATTTGATCAGAAAATGAAGATTAATGCTCTTATTCGACTATCAACAGTGAGGTTTTTTAGCTTCTAGAGAAAAAGAACAAAATCAATATTCAGATGCAGTTGCCTTTTACCACTAAATATTGACAGCCATGGCGTGATGTTTGCGACTCTTTTATAGAAGCGAACATTTTTGAGATATTGCTGTGTAGTACAACCGACACTAGTATGGTTGTATTATTTGAAATGTATCCTACGTTTTACTGGTAACTGTGTATCACAATAGTGAAAACATTGTCATCGCTATTATTGAGAACAATGTCTTCCATTGTCACTTATCAAGCATCCTTGTGTTTCTATCGCCAAACACGATCCATGAAAATAAGAGTTTACAACATGCTAGTATTTTTTTTTTTTTGTACATTTTTCTTTGTGAAGTATATAGAACTAAAACGAGCGTAGAAAATCCATGAGATGTGGAGTCCTATAGACGATGAGTATTGAAGAAAAATTCATAGATCAACATGAAAGAGAAACTTCATAGTATATAACTAAGAGAAGACAAAGAACAAAAACAAAAATGCATTTGTATGATTAAGCTAAACATAATACAGAAGAAAAAGCGTTTATGACTATATCAGAAGAAGTTGTAGGTTATAAACATCTAGCAGAACAATGCTAGTTTTTGAACAGAATTATATTGGAAAAATGTCTTCAATGTCAATTCTTACTCAATATTGAGAACTCATTGGCTTGAGTGAGAAAAACGTCCTATATGCTAGCCCTAACAGTCTATTTCCCTGACTTCTCTTGTACTGAAATATTCATCTATTTTGACAATCAGTCATCATATTTATTTTCTGAAAATTGTTACTCTGGAACGTATTCTAATGATCGTGTACTCTGATTAAGTGGAATACACGTGAAAAGATTTTAAATGCAAACATTTTCTCAAATACCAAAGCGCATCCCTAGAATACAATAATGATTTTCTTCAACAACAGATCGATATACATCATTTTTCAATAAAATAGTTGAAAGACTATGTGTCGTGACACATGAATACGTTTAACTTTTATATGATGCTTAGATTTACTTTGAGATTGATAATTTATTAATTTATAAAATTAACATCCTATGGTAATAAACAACAACAAATGATGTAAAGGTTTTCTTTTTTCAATTTTAGAAGAACATATTATGATCATATTCTTGCATTTGATAATATATTTTATCTTTTGAAGGTAATTTTAAGAAAATTAAATGTAAAAACTGATTTCAGAAGACACAATAAATTTATGAATTTATTTATTATTATTTTATTTTTGACTTTTTTTGTAAACCAAAATTCACTAGTAAAGAATATTTCTATAATTTCTTTATGAATTTCTTTGTCAAAATTCGTTCTTAATTATTTTAATAAAAAACATATTTTTCAATGACGAGTTTTATTATTTATTGCCATTAAAAAATCGAGAACGTCATTTATTATCTCCAACCATCTGAAATTTTCTCAAAAAAAAAATATAGCTTATCAATTGAATCTTCTATGAAAACAATTCGCAATTTAACTCATGAATCGATTCGAAAAAAACTTCCACGAAAGAATTATGATCGAAGATGATGTACATTCATTTTAACCAAATTCATACAAGACTTCTTGTTCCATAACAGCAATCACTTGACTAGACTACAACGTTGTAAAAAATAAAATAATGAAAAATTAAGAGATATTCTTATCATTAGTAAATATTTATAATAAATAATGAAGTTATGTCAAATAATAATAATAATATTTGAATCAGAAAAAAAAAATCAATAAAGATTTATTTGGACGACCATATGGTCTTACATAATCAATAAATCAACTTTTGATTGATTCAAAACAAATGAAAGGCATAAAGATTCGTATGATTTAACTTTCCCATAATATCTTAATAGAGAAATTTTTACCAGGCTAATGGATAATACAAATGTATTCTAAAATGTTTTTTCTTGTCTTCTTCACATCAAGATATAAATAACATACTTGAAGAAAAGTATTAAAACAATTTTTCAATCCATACAAAAAATATAGAGATAGTTTACAAATTTTGAGATATTATCAAAAACTTCGAATGATCATTCATTGCTTAACAATTCGAATTGATTAGAAGTCATATCTGACATGACATCAGACTATATTTCTTTTCATACATTTATAATATTTAGAAAATAGAAAAAAAAATGCATAAGTATATTGCGAGTTTTACAATAGAATAGAAAGATAAATTCGTTATATTAATTCAATCTACTTGATAAAAATGAGAATAATTTTTTTTTTGATTAACAGTCATCAATTCATTATTAAATAAAGATATAGATTGAATTAAAAATATGCTAATTCGTCATTATCGTCATCATTATAATCATTAATCATTGGTTTTTCTTCTAATTTATATAACATATTCAAAATATCATCTTGAATTTTTGGTGTTATTATAAATTGACCATGTTTAAATTGTGGAATAATAGTTGTATCAATATTAGATTTTCTTAAATATTCTTTTACAAATGAAACTGGTATAATATCATCATTTTCAGATAAAAATACATGTATTCGAATTTGACTTTGTTTTATATCTTCTGCCCATAAATTACATTCATACCAACATAGATTACGTTCAATAGCATAAATTAAATATAGATCATCCGCACAAGCAGTATGTAATAAAAGTTGATTTGGTGTACGTGGTTGACGATAAATAAAATTATTTATATAACGTGAATCAAATATAAGAAAACAAACAGGATCAATAAAAATAACTGCTTGATTATAAACTCTATGTGATAATTGTTTAATAAGACATGATTGAATAAGTGTACCATAGCTATGACTAATACTTATTATATATTGTTCATTAAGTGTAATAAGTAATTTTTCAATAGATGATATAATAGTTGACATAGAAAAAATTTCTGTATAAAGACGCATACTTGCATGTGGGATATCGAGAAGAATTATTGTTCGATTAAGAGATGCTAAACGACGTATAAATAAAATATAAGTATTTGCACCAAGACTTAAACCATGAAGAAATAAAATTGGTCGCAATCTATAAAAAAAATGTCATAATATTTTTAAAATGAATTTTATAAAAGAACAAGTTTTAAGACGATCTAATCTCCAATGATATCAGAACATGAGTATCAAATATTTTTCTTGAATTTATTATTCTTCAACATAAAACATGTAGTATAAATGAAATATACGTCTTAACATGTTTCAATGAAGTTGAAGAAGCTCTGACTTACAAGGAAATCTTACTTAGAGCAGAAAAATCTTCAAAAAGGTTCAACCCAAAAAAAAAGAATATTTCTTTAGCGAGACATGAAATTTTCAATTTAACTTGAGTGTTGTGACATGTCTGTGACAAGTATGTAGTTGTGAGAAATCTATTATCTTGGCAAAGGAATATTCTTTTCGACTGAAACTTTCAAGATATTCTAAGGGTTATCAAAGTTATCTATAGAGTGAATTTCAGATAGTAATTCCAATATTTCATTTTTCCAGTAAATACTGGAATATTGATTGAAATTTCAATAAAATAGTTATACCTCGACTCCAGAAGTTCAAGGGTACGAATCCTTGTAAACTTCTTTTCTAATCTTATCAAGACTTTCTTGTGAACTCAATATGAGCTTAAATGTTGAATTATATTTTGTTTACGTTCGTTCTTTGAACATTTTTCTCAAAAGTTAGAACTTAATGATTACATTTTACACTGTCTAGAACATTGGAAACTACATTTTCAACATCTAAAGTTTATGAATACTTTGTGAAATTCTATTAGACTCGATTTTTTACTGTTGTTTGACTTTTTTTGTCGTTTAATTATTATCTGTCAGTATAGAATGATGATATATTGTACGTATTGATCTTTATCATTAGCTGTTCATTTAGGCGAATGAAAGTTTGAAAAAAAAACTATGATTCAAACTTTCGTTTAACACTTTCCATCAGAAAACTGATGACAATTCTATAAAATATCATGAAACATCACTCAACTAAACAATTAATAGTTTAAACAAAAAACTAATTTCTACTCGATGACTTTATATAAATAATATTACTTACTTACCTTGTTTTTTTCGGGTATTTTCTAACATAAAACACAACATTATCAACATTGTGATATTCATATCCCATTGATTTAAGTATGGATGTCGTAATACTACGTACAAATGCAAACAACAAATATTTTAACAAAGGATAATGTGTATATTGAATTGGATCTTTATTAGGATGTTTCAATTGTATTTGATGGTTATAACCAGATTTTATTTTTGAACGTTGTTTAGGATATTTTTTTAAATATCCTTTATATAATAATCTTTTTATATGTTGTTGTTGTTCATCAGTCATTTCATTTCCATATTCAATACCATATGTTGCCATAGCTATATATTCTAAAATATTTTCTTCATAAATTAAATCACAAGATGAATTTTTAATACCATTAAACCATCCAACAAAACATACACGAAAATCATCTTGAGATTTTTCATAAACATTTAAAATTCTATCAACAAATTGTTCATCATAATTCTTTGGTAATGGAAGACGTTCAGGTAAAGGACGATTACTTAAAAATCTTGCTTCTTCAACATTAAATAAAAAGAAAAATGATTCAAATACACAATAAAAAATAATTATTGTATGATAAAAACAATTGAAAGAATTAATATCAATAAATATAAGAAAATATACAAGATAAATTTGACAAAATGGTAAAGTATAGATAAATATTGAATGAAATGTAAATGTAAAAAATAATATTATAAAACCATGCCAATTACGTATACGATAAGGAGAATAAAATATTAAATATACACAAATGATCAAACTTAAAGCACTGATTAAAGCGATGAAAAACACCATCCTTGTGACTATTAGTGTATATGATTATGCAGGTGATCAATATTTGTATCATATCTGATCGTAGCTCATGTATAAAGAAAAAGAATAGTCATGTGATATTTGTCTTTACTATGCGTTTGTAAATATGTCATTATGAATACAATATATATCTGTGTTTAGAGAATAAGGCCTTGATTTAGAATCAAAAAGTACTGAGCTTATATTTTTTTTCGGACAATAAAACCCATTCCTTAGTAAATAACGCTAAGTTTTCGTATTTTTCTAATACATACATTTCTATTAACATTTATTTCTCACTCTATATCTACAATTAATTTTAAGATCTATTATCGACTTTAGACTATATTAATTTGTTATATTATATATATTTCCTTACTATGTAATAATATATTTAAAAATTTTTAATAATATTAAAATCTAATAGAATCAAATTTTTTTTGAATTACTGCAATATCTTTTTTCTTTTTAATATTTGTAATAGGCAATTGTTTAGTAAGTTGTATTCTAGTGATGACAGATTTTCTTAAATGAATCAATTCGCACAACATTTCATGTAATATAGAAGATGTTTAAATTTACAGCAAACATATCTCAAATTACTTGTTTATCATTGCTAAATACGTATATAACATATAGAAAAATAAACTATGACGCAGTTAGAGTCATCAATAGTTCATATACTTCAAAATACTTTGATAATGATTATCTAAATTCTGTTTCTCTATATTACTCTTTGCTGTGAAAATTATATGTGACATACGACTCAGAATTCATTCTAATTTGTGTTCGAACTTTTCATAGGTGATATTTAATGTTGCATATTTGTTCGTACTACCGTCAGTAAACCGCAGTAGAATGATGATTAGAGAGAATAGAAGATCATTTAGGTATCAAACTACCGCTATTTGGAATTATATGAAATATATTCAATTTATTTTATGTTTATAACAATTTTCATTAAATATTTTAACATAAAAAAAAATTCATAAAAAATATTAAAATAAGCTAAAACTTAAATAATTATTATTTTGATTGATAATGCAATGTTTATTTCTAGATTAGAGATTAATTCAATAATATTCATAAACTAAAATAATACATTTATTAAAATTGATAGTAGAAGATTGTTTAAAAACAGAAACTAATAATTCAAACATAATTTGATTAAAATCTATGATACATTTTAAATTGTATATGATTTATCATCAATATCGAAAAGTGTATCCGTAATAACTGTAACTTCATGAGCTTTTAACCATCGTCGTTGTTCTGGTTCATTAACACACCATGCACATACAACAATTTGTGCGTTTTTATATTCATCTAATAAATTTTGTGAAATTTGTCTATGTTCAATACAAATTAAATCAGCTCCTAAAAATTTTAAACCAGCTGGTGTACCTAAACGCATAAAAAATGAATCAATCATCCATCGTAATATAATATTTTTAATGAAAAATATTGAACAAGGTCGTGAAGTTTGATCAGCATTACGAATAATAAGTGTTGTTATATGTGGTGCTAATAGATAAGCTGTTGTTATATATGGATTGAGACGACGAAGAGCATATATATTATATGGATGAAAAGCAGCACAATAAGCACGATCATATAAAAATGGATATCGTTCAAAAAGATTATTAATAATTTTTGCCATTTCATCTTTTTTATGTGTTTCTTTAATTTCAATCACTATAGAAAAACAATAGAGATTAAATTGTTTTTTATTTGCTTCAAAATATTTATCTATACTTACTTAATTTAAGTTTTGTTGGTTCTAAAAAAATAATAACTTCTTCTAAAGTTGGTATTATTTCACAACCTATATGATCATATATATCACGTTTATTTTTTTTTAAATATTTTAATTGTTTTAATTCAGCACATGTTAATGATGATATAAATTGTCGACAATTAGCAAATGTATGTTCTAAATAACCATCATGACTAATCATTGGAATATGATCACGACTTAACCATACATCTAATTCAATACCATCAATACCATTTATATTTGATGCCCATCGATAAGCAGCCATTGTATTTTCAGGAAAATCATTATCATTCGATGGTATTAATGGTTGACCACCACGATGTGCAATTGTTAGATTTTTAAATTGATTAATAGATCTTCGACATTTTGATAAAGAAAAATAAGTATAGACAAAAAAAATTGTTAATGGAATAATTAATATAAGAAAGATGATAATTATATATGAAATAATTAGAAACAATGGACTAATAAGAAGAATAATAGTCAAACCATTGATTATCCAAAATTGAATATCACCTTTCATTTCTTCACTATTAAACGATTACCAAAATAACCCAAAAGCAAAAAACAAAATAAATAATTTGTACAATATCTAACCAATGACTTCACTAATATGCGTCGATCAATTTATAATAAACATAAATGCATGAATACGGACACATTAGTAATTTCTTTCACGTTTGTTTCTTCGCTAAGAATACAGAACAGTAATGTGCACGCATGGCAAAGCTCAAATACTCGTTGTTTTTTTCTGTATGATGTTCTTCTCGTCTATAAATGCGATCGTTATTCTCTTTCACGTGTCAGAAGTAGAAAGAGAAAAATAAATGGCTCATGTACTCGCCTAAAAAAGAAACAATACTACTAGTTCGTTTTTTTTTCCTTCTCTTATATGATTGTATTGCTTTAAGCATCATCAGAAGTCAAAACAAACCTTGAACTTTAACAAAAAAATTCTATGAATAAAATTATAGTTCAAATTGAGTATTTAAAATAAAGAAGATATTGTATTGATTTGTTATGTATTGATATTAGTATTCATGTCTATGGAATGATTTTAATAGTAATAAAGTTTTTGCAAATTTCGACTAACAATATCAATGACTTATGAGAGTGCTGCAAAATCATATACATACATATTGTCAGTTTATGACATCAAAATTGTAACTTTTTTATGATTTATTAAATATATTTAGTACAAAGATTGATAACAATGCAATTTTATGATAATGAAAGAAAAGTCATTACAAATTTAAAGATTGTCCAATCTCAATGTGCTAAAACTAAGACTAAAAATAATTTTGTGTTTTTCTTCAGGAAATAGACCATAGATTTAAGAGCTTCGAAGTGAATAGATTTTTTTCTCCGAATGGTTTTATTTATTTTACACTTGTTACAAAAAATTATATTGGTCAACATTCACATTCTACGGTTATGTTTGGTAACAACAAAAATAAACTCATTTTATGCAAAAATAGAGCTCATCTTAATATAGTATTAAGCTAGTTTTAAGTACGACACGACATAAAACAATATCTACTGTTTCGATGTCTATATTTCAAGCCTGTTTCTAGTGGCATAAATAGCTAAAATTCTAGCAAACTTAGCATGTTGTATCGAGCCCCCTCTATAGAGGAAGCTCATATCAGTAACTGTAGCATTTTCAAATTTTCTACATAAGTAGAGATGAAGTCTCAGACTACGACAATCATCTTTGTTCTCTGATTTGCAACTAGATGCGATTTTAAGTGTCACAATGAGATAACAAATAATAAGATGATGAAATGATGATGAATTGTTAGTGATGGAAGATCCATCAATTTATTAAATATAAATAATCAAGAAAATACAAGAAATTTAGATAGGATGAAGAAGGTGTCTCGTATTATAACTAGTATTAGCATTAACTAATACTAGTACTAATACTTAAGTGTTAGCATTATTTTTAATTGTAATATATATATTCCATATAAATTTTTGAACACTATCTATACACCGTACCTGTACCGTTGTAAAGGCTATGCTAGAATTCATATGTGTAACTTTTCAATGGGTATTTGGACATGTGGTTGTGGATATTGACTTGGGTGGACGAATAGAGATGTAGGTGTCCTTCTTAAACTCAAAGTCACTTACACTCACACCCAAAAAATGCTAATAAGAGTGTGGGTGTTGATGTTAACGAAAAAAAATGACTACATCAACAGCTACATATTACAAAATCACACATTCACACTGTCTGCTGATGTTATTTGTAGATCATGAAATAAATTTTTCTCTATATTGTCTTCTTTTATTTTTTATAATCTAAATTTTTAATAAACTGAAATTATAAATGTTCTTGTCCAAGTTTTAATGCTTCTTCGTATGCTTTGATACTACGCTTTAAATTTTGTCGTTGCACCGTTCGATCATAAGGTTCTTTCATATAACGAATCAAATCTGATGTTGAGATGGCCATAGTCATATCTTTATGAACCTCTAGTGTACATAGAGTAATAAATTGATGATAACATATTTGAGAGATGATATCAATAATACGCGTTTGTACGATCTAAAACAAATTCTTAAATCATCGATATACTTTCAATTTGATTTACTCACTTCGGAATATGCTTTTAAGGATATTTGAATATCTGTTGCTGCATGAACTTCATTTGTATCTTGTGTATAAACACTTTGGTTCGTCGTTGGAGTAAACATCGTCGAAATGTAATGTATTTTATTTGAGTTTACAGATACATTTCGTTCTTTTACTAATGATTGTGTCGATGATGGTATTATTACTGGCTTACTACTGTCTCTATCATTAGTATTGTTAGTTTCTCTCATCTTGCGTATAGTTTTCATATATTCATGACTTAATGTGAATAATCTCTTTTCCATATCAAGTATTTCTTGTACACGTTCAATTGTTCGTTCTTCAGCTGCATCAATTTTTCCAATAATAACTTCTTTTAGTCGTTGAATAAGACGAGGATATTCTTGATCAAATGTTTGATGATATATTTTTAATAAAATAATATTGAGATAATCATGTATATTTTTGACTAATGAAGAACATATTGTTGGTAAACGAGCAAGTTCTTCTCGAAATAAACTTTCAATTATTTTAAAACTTTGAAAATTAGGCAATGAAACACCAGTTGCATAATCAATTTTCATGATTACAAGTTTTTTTATAATCAACAGTAGAAAAATCCGAAAAACTATTGCGTAGTGCTTCTTGAAATTTTTGTAGAAATTTATAAAGATGATATGCTATATGATCATCACCAGATACAGGAACAAATGCTACTTTGGTACGACTCGAAGCTTCTGTTGTAGTATTATTTGTATTTTCAGATGCATTACTATTTACATTAAACATACTACTTCGTATTTCACAATCATAATCACCATTGACTTTAGCTTGAATACTTTCACGAAATGCATCGATCATTGATTGAAATTTACTCCAACATTCATGTTCGGTTGTCATAGCCATTGGAATATTTTTAAGCTCGAGCCTTTTATTACGAATTTGATTTCTTAATTCTTCAATGGTCCCAGGCAGTGTTGAACGAATACGACTATGTTGAATTGTAGCTAATTTTTTGACTAATTGATCAACACCTTTATATTCATCAGATAAATTTTGAAAAGCTTCACGATGTTTTATGAAAAATTGCCTTTCACGTTCCTTCATTTCTTCAAATGATACATTCGAATCAATTTCATCTTGATTTCGATTTAGTACAGCAACACAACCCAATTGAAGTTTCATTGAACCTGGTCCTTCGCCAACTAATTTTTGGGCTATACCTTTATCATATTTATCAATTTTTGAAGCAGCAATTAATTGTCGTTCACAATTAGGATCAAATTCTTTAGCTAATTTCATCGATTCCGATGTTGAAAAATCAACAGACGATGGAATTACATGTAAAACAACCTTTAATGAAAAAGTGAATTCATTATATGAAAGCATAATTTAAAAAATTTATAGCAGTTGATGGTTCGATATACTTGTTAATTAAGGTTAAAATTTGAGCATGAATATCTTTTGCTTGACCAGGTAAAGGATTTCGAGTTATACCCGGTAAATCAATCAATGTCAAATCATATGGTATATTACGCTTGTAAACTGTCAAATAGATTGGATGTGAACTAACATTAGTTCCATTTCCTGCAATATCATTGGTTAGACGAATAACTTCATCAGCAATATCTTCCATGTCATAGATAGTTTTCATTGCATCTACCGGAGTTTGACTATTATGTATAATAGCATATTCATCACCTGTTGTTACTTTCATACGTAATTCTAATGGACATCGAGTACAGATGTTTTGTGCTCGAGGTAATTGAATTCCAGATATAGCTTCTAGGACGGATGATTTACCTACAGATTGGTCACCGACAACGACTATTTCTGGTAAACAAATTTGATTTCCCTGTAAAATTTCTCGCATTCGATCTACTGCCGACAGAAGTTCACGTGATTCTTTACTATTAAGTTCTTCGGCCAACATTGTATTTTGATGAAATAGTTAATAATAAAAATGTTTGAATATTTTTACTACAGATATTATTGTAGATCTTGAAATGAAAAAGGAACAAGTGCAAACAGCTATTATTATACTACTATCATCGTAAGAAAGTACAAAGATAACATTTGAAATGTGGCTTATGACTGCGACAAGATGTTTTATTCTTGAGACCTTATTGCGTTTTCATCATCGAAAAAACCACATATCGCCCAAGTGGCGTATAGTTTTCTTCTAGACATGATATGAGTCAAGATTGAAGATAACATGTATGATTCTTTAGCAAATATTCAGGTGTTTTGTATTTTAATCAGTTCATTTTCGCCGAATCTTCTTTTTGTTGACGATGTTTTTCGCCGATTGCAATATTGCTGAATAAATGCATAACTGACAACAAGTTCAGATTAAATATCATCCGTTCTATATATAATATTTTATTATTATTGATTAATTTTATACCCAAATCGGTTGTTTGCAATAGGTAAAAACCAAGATTTCAGCATTTCGAAGTACCATACTTCACTCGTACTTCAGAGTACTGAATATTTGTTTTTTTCTTCTCGATTGATTGACATCTCAACAACGTACCAAGTCGTGTACAGGTGTAGGTGCCAGTGTGAAGAGGAAAATATTCACATCCAAATTGAAAAGGCAACGTTGTTATTAAAAACAAAAATTATCAAACAATTTTTCTGTTGAGTCATCGAATTGTAATTTAACTCTTTCTGGAAAAACAATCAAAAGATAAGTAAAAATGTTCATAAAAGTATGTATAAACAAATAAAGAGAAATAATTCAGCTTAAAAGAGTTTTTTTAATTAAAATATGCCGTAATATGCAAGAAGAAAGAATTTTATCTACATATACATACAGAATGTACGTAGTAATAAATTATCATCACAGTTCAATCAAAGATGTTGAAGCGATCAAATATGATAAAATTGAATAAAAATGAAACACATCTAAAATAGTATCTTTGCTTCTATATACAAATGATAATATTTATCAAAGAAGAAATAGCATATGGAAATATATCAATACACTCATAGTTTTAATAAACATAGAGTGAAATTTTTCATAAGATCTATTTATTCGATCGATATCCTTGTGTTAAACTCGGTTTGATATCACACGTTAATTATGTAAGAATACACTCAGGATGCAGAAAACTGTTAGTTCAACCTCTGAGAAATTAAAATGTAAAATTTGATGTAGTTGCTGTTGTTAGTCACATCAAGTTTGTTTTATTCTATTTATTTTGGAAGAGACATTTCTTCATCATCTTTTTATTTAATCCTTCTTGTCGGCAATAAGGAACTAATTCATGAATTCTAGCAAGACATTATTCATATATAGTCTATGATAAAGAAGAGATGTTGTTAAGACGACTGTCTTATGTGTGTTGAGCCGCTCTTCATGTGCCCGTCACGTTTGTGATGACTCGTTGGTAAAATATCATTCACGTCTGTGGAAGAAGCCAAATTTTCATCCCGTGCATCAACACTCCTTTTGAGATTATGTTTCACAAAAATAATGACTTTGAGTATAGGCATGTGCCCATCAAACAATAAATTTCTGTTTAATGATAATTTATAAGACTAAAAAATGATGATTCCTGTACCAGCATAACAGGAACACTTCCAATAGAAAACGGAATCCTAATTAATATCAACATAGAACAATAGAAATTGAAGATTTTTTTAATGAACCTAGTTGTTGATGACAAATATGCCATCTTTCTCAGTCGTTATGTCATTTCGCATTGAAGATAAGCCTACGATTTACTATGAAATATAAAGAAGTCTTAAGCTGAGATGACGTACGTATGTACATTTACGATGGCTTAAGATAGCTGTCAGTCTAAAATCCATAGAGTTGACAGTCGACTGAAAGAGTCAGTTTTCTATAAATCACAACACCAGTTTCTTTACCAAGTGAGTACATGAAACGGAGTGTTTTCAACTGTCAATCTGACATATAAACATTTTCAATTATCAATTCATATATAAAATTGTTTTTTACAGTATTTTCTTGAGAATCTGTAAGTTCTTTCACAGTTTTAAATAGAATTATGAAGGGTTTCTCAGATGCCTAAGTCTAAATGTACAATGAACTTTAGTAACAGAATTATCTTTATCAATAATTGTTTGCATACATCGAAATTTTGAAAAATATTTTAATACTATCTCATATAATTAATATCAGTTTCGAAGAAGATAAGATACATCCTAAGGCATAACACATACGTTTGTATAAGTATACAGATCCAGATTCTTCAAAATGTTTATGGAAACATTGATTGATGTTTTTGTCTCTACGTTCATGTTTCAGACCAAATCATAAAATTTTTTTTAGAAATCTAATTGAATAAAGTACTCATATTGATCTTCTTTATCATCATATTCTTATAATGTCAAAATGATATTTTCATTTGAAGAATATGTAAGATTGACATTCAAGACGTTTCATTTTTATAAAGTCAAGAAAATCCAATTGAGCTTATTTTTATGAAAAATTTTATTTTGCTATAATTAGAATACAAAACTAGTTTTGATGATGAGAAATATTGTAAATCAAATGCAATCATTTTAAGAAAACTCTATATGAACAAATAGAATGTGTATCTAAATATAATCTTGTTTAGCTTGTTCTTATAGATTTATTCATTGTTTCAAGAGAAAAAAAAATTTTTACAAATAACAATTTATTACATAATGTCAAGTAATAATATGACAACAATAAAACCAAATGGACCATCAGCAGCATCTCCAATTTTTGCTTATTATTCATTAACGTTGATTATTGTTGGCACTATATTCAATATCACAGTATTTATTATTTTCTGTCGATCAATATTTCGAAATACCAGAGCGATACCAACACTGCATTATATGCGTCCAATGGCCGTCGTTGATATTCTCATGTTATATGGATAAAATCTCGATGATTATCTTATAGTCGTACATCATATTCACATTCGACATTATTTCATAATAGCATGCAGATTTATTTTTTTTCTCAATTATGTTTCTGCTCAAACATTGGCTTGACTGCGTATTCTTTTTGTTTATCTCAATCGATATTGATCATTATATTATCTTCATCGGACATGATCTGATCTGTCAAAGAATATTCAAATTATTATTGCATGTGTTTTAAATGTCCTAATAGTTCTTAATTTTCCTTGTTTTCTTTTTGTTGGCTATTATCAACTAAATGGTACAATTGCTAGTCTATCTTGGTTGTATGATATCGATTCATAATGGAATTATATCAATTTGAATATTTATAATTGTGTAACATTTGTATCAGTGGTGATATTCATTGATTTAGTCCCATTTTATTGAAAAATTGCGAGAAATTAATTAATATGCCTAATTCATCAACAAATCTTTTTTTTCTTTTCATCGACATGTTTTATTCATCAGTATTTTTATGAAAGAAAAAAATTAATTAAATCTTGTATTGAAGAAGGTGATTGTAATTATAAAAATCCGAACACAATTCAATAGTTCATGAGAGATTAGCAATAAAACATGAATATAATAATACTTTACCAATTGTTTTACTAATCTTGTTGAAGTATTCATCTAATGGCAAGAACCTCTTTTTGTATCGTTTCATTAAATCAAGAATTTGTTGGTTTTAAGAAGCAACTTTTTTATTTCATAAAGGCTTGCTCATATTATTATGAAGTTATTCCGTTGTAGGCGCGTTAAACGCATCATTTTTCTTTAATTCATCAATCACTACATATAAATTTGGATTGAGAGTGACAATAGTTCCATTAAGCTGATATTGCTAACCGCTCTCTCCTGTTCTAGGGTTGTGTCAGAACAAGTGCAGAAGTAAAGTAACTCAAAAGCTACATTCACATCCGATAATGGAAAGCATTTTTCTGAGGAAGTAAGATTTCTTCACAATAAAGTTCTGAAATTGTGCAAAAAAAATTGTGTTGATGAAACGAAAAGATATCGTTTTTAACTGAGATGTTAACAACTGTACTATCTACTATCAGTTTTGCATTTTTCTTCTTATCAAGCATTACTATTATGTGTGTCTTTGATCACTTTCTTTACTCCTACCATATAATATTAATTAAATAAACAGTGACATATTTCATCTAACTGAGCCATTCCACAATGGATGCTACGAGTTAATTTTATATCGAATGAATTACAGTGATTTTCATATGTCTAATACTTGTATGAACGATTTTCTACCATATGTTGTATAATATTTTCATTAACTGTTTAGATTTCTGATATAATACACGCATATATTCTTGTTTAAATTGACCATACAAGAAAAAGAAAGAATGAACATAAAAATGAAACTAATTGATTATTCGATATATAAACTTTATAATAGAAGTTTTGATTAGAAAAATATAATGTTTTTATTTTTATTTTGTTGTTTAGTTTATGAATATATCATTTTACATATGTTTGTTCAAGTTATTAAATTTATCATTATCAAACTTTAACAATGAAGTAAAATATGTTAGACCATGCAACAAGTATCTGTAAAAACTGAATATACTCACGAACACCACCAAAGTTGAAAAAATAATATAGAATTCGAAACGAATATGATACAGACATTCATTCTTGACAGCGTTTTTTATTTCCAACTGCAATGCAACCTTTTGTTGTGGATACAGATACTTATGGTTATTTTGATTTTTACTTGTACAAGATTTTTTATAATCAAATACCGAGGTCACTATTGTTATCTTTTACAATTAAAACAAAGATAATCATGAGTGCCCCGAGTAATTTGCAGTTTTAATAAGTATTCGAAATTACCCATGGCTTCATTGATATGTGATTATAAAACACCTCTCGTATACGTAAAAGCCAAATTAACCATGAAAGTCCGTGTCCATAAATAAGCCAGTGTTCCAATTGAAAAAAAGCGCAGTTCTGAATGAGTGTCTGTATAATATTCGTTTCATTCTCTATCGTATTTGAAGTTTCAGGGGTGCCCATACGTTGCATTCTCAGATAAGTTTAATAATAAAACGAAGAATAATAAAAATATATACATCAATTGAATATTGTATTATGTGACTTATTAAATAAATATTCAATTGCATAGTAAATCATTGATTGTATTTCGTAATTTTTTTTTCTAGTTATTTATTTTTTGCTTTCTTTTACGCCATTGAAATATTCTTGTTTTTTGCATAGTAAGAAAAGAATTTGTTTATCTTTAAGCAATGCAATATAATCTTCGATGGTACGTGTTTTTCAAAAGTCATTCTACAGAATCAATCGCTAGAACAGTTTCATTAAAGATATGTCAAAGTTGAATCTTTACTCATTACATATTTACCAAAATGAAAACAATATTTTTTTGTTTTAGATTAAAATGACCACAACTATTGAATCAAAACCATGTCAAGCAAATGATAATGGAATCAATTGTGAAAAAGATGCCAGGTAAATAGAATTAATTCTACTTTTCAAAAGAAAAAAAAATAGTAATTTTTTAAAGAGCAAAATGTTTTCATTGTTCACGTGATTTATGTTTAACACATTTTACTGAACATTCACAATTTATTGATAGTCAAACACGAACATTTTTATATTCACATGAAAAAATTTTAAATGATTTATATAATAAATTTGAATTTCTTTCAATATCATCACGTATATTAGAATATCCATTTATTCAATTGGAAAAATGGCGTACAGATGCTCATCAAAAATTAGATCAATTAGCTGAACAAAAACATCAAGAAATTCAACGAAAAATTTCTGAATATCGAATTATATTTACAGAAAAAACAAATGAACAAAAACAAAAAATTGAATTATTAAAAAAACAATTAAATAATTTATCTCAACAAACACATGTGGCTAATAAAGAAATTAAATATTTAGAAGATAAAATTAATGAAACAAAAATTTTTTTACATTCTATTGAAAAACATTCAATTAAAGTTTCTACTTATGCTTTTTTTGTTAATATTCGAACAAATTTTTTTGATTTACAAACTTCACGAATTAATCAATCATCATCTCCAATTGTTACTTCATCAACACAATCGACAAGAAATACACGTTCAGAATTAAAAGAATTTATGAATAATGGAAATAAACAACATTTAGATAAAAAACGATCATTATCTGTTTCGTTATTATAACAAATATCTTATTTATGAACATTTAATTATCGTTGTTCATATTGTTTTTTCTTTAACAAAATAAAAGAAACTGTATGGATATTTTATGATTATTCATTGCTATTTTTTGATATTGAAAAAAGATATTCTGTTTGAATGCATTTTTCATTGATAATGCGCAGTTATTTATCTTCACTAAGTATTTATGGAATTTAGCTCTGAAATAATAATCGGAATAACAGAGAGAAAAGAAAATAAGTGACTGTGTTTTCTCTTAGAAGAATGTTTGCCATTTAATCTGTTAAATAAATAAAAAGATATCGAACTATAGTTTATCGTCTATATTGAAAAATCAAACAATGGCTACAGTTATCAAATCATGTCAAGCAGAAGATAATGAAAAATGTAAAAATGAAGCTCGGTAAGACTTAATAATTGTAAATTCCTTTTTTTTCTTTATCAATAAAGAATTTTTATCTTCAGTGCACATTGTTATCATTGTTCTCGTGATTTATGTCTTGATCATTTAACTCAACATGCACAATTAATCGATGCATTAACTCGTTCAGCTCTTGAAGATTATTTTACAATTCTTACAAATTTATCAACACGTCTTCAATCTTTAACAATATCAACGAATATTCTTAATGAACCATTTTTAAAAATTGAACAATGGCGTATAGATGCTTATCATCAAATAGATGATATTGTTGAAAAAAAATTTCAAGAAATTCGAATTAAAATTGATGAATATCGTCAAATATTTGATACAATACGAAATGAACAATTAGAAAAAGTAGCTCGTTATAAACAAAAAATTGCTGAATTATTTCGTAAAACACAAGTAGCTAATAAAGATATGTCAAATTTACGAAAATCAATTGAACAAATTCAACATGATTCAAATATATTTGATAAACATTCAATTGAAGTTCTATCAAATCGTCCTTTAATTCATTCAATTAATATTCGAATGCGATTAAATGATTGGAAACCACCTAGTCTATTGTCATCATCATCATCATCATCAACAATTTCTGTATCATCAATTATTCATCAATTAGAATTTCGTTTAAAATATGTTCGTTTATCAGGTATTGTTACTTGTCATTATGTATTAGTTGAAGTTAATGGAACTATAAAAGATTTAATTGATCAATTTATTATGACAGAAAATGATTTTAGTATGGAAAAATGTAAACATGATTATTGTTTAGTAACAGAAGTTAGTCAAAATCGTGTTCGTCAAAGATTTACGAATGATATACAATTAAAAATGATTTTTAATAAAATCGATGAACTTGTTTTATATGAAACTCCATTTGAATTGAATATATGTAATCTTCAACAATATTGTCTTATCTTATGTCGATTTGAAGATGGTCTACCATGGAATATTAAATTTGGATTACCAATTTTACTTAATGTACCACGTTTTCAATGTCGAGGTCGAGATGTTATTAATGCATTAGATAAAATACTCAAAATATGTTTTCCTCTTATAGTTGATAATAATAATATTCATTATGAAGTTAGAATTGTTTCGGATGATCATCAAATAAGTACAGCAACAATACTTAATGAATGGGCAGATGAAGTTATTGATGATCATTTACTGATGGCTGATAATGCCATACTTGTTGTTAATCTTGTTAATAATGGTCAATCATCAATACACAAAGAGATAACAAATTTGACTCGCTTAGATGGAATTTTGAAGAATAATGATAAGTGGCGAAAGAGTCGAAAATAATGGTGACTATCAATCTTGTTGAGAAAGTTTTTTCTTTCTCTTCATACACTTTCTTGATCAGTGATATCAACGATGAACGTGGTTTTCAACGTATTTTGATGTCAAAAAATATATCAGCCATATCTTGTTTTTATTTATTTATTATATTTTTTGTTTTGACCAATATATTTTATTTACATGAGAATTACTGAAAATAATTTGATGAGTTCCTAATCATGAAACATCAAATCGAATTACAAGCTATTAAGTCAATAATCGTCGATAGATTCCAACGTTGAAGAAGAGTTTTGAAACTACTTGCTCATTTTGAAAGTTCATTGCTCTTTTGAAATCTTTTATAGGGAGAACCTTTTCAGCCCTTCAACGTGAATGTAGAGACAAAGAAGGGCTGCATTCGATGCAAAATTGAACTCTACATGAAATGATGCTCCTTTCAGATCGGGGCAACGGACAGTTCGGACGATATCGAAGATAAACTTAATTGTTGTAACCTTCTCTAAGGAGCTCTACTGCATATTGTGAACCAATTTTGTATTTTCAAAAACGAAAGTAAAGACTTGGAAGGGTCTAATCCAATACACAATTGTACTCTACATCAAATGAATTGACTTTAAAGCCTGGGCAATGAGTGATTCAGATTTTATGAAAAAAATTGCTTTGTTGTGTTCACTCTGAATACGTACCACTACCGAGTTTTGAGGAGAGATTTTCTTTGAGATTCTAGCTATCAATGAATCGGATGATATTAGGAAAAGATTGTCGTCTCTGTGACAATAAATGCATATCACTTCTGCAAGTTAAGAAGATATTCTTTGCCTTGCTAGAGTGAAGCAAGAGATACAGAAGGACTTGAGAGGGTGTGAGTGTGGGATGTGGAACTTTGCAAACATCTAGCCCCCATCTAACGCAAGAAGGACACCTGATTTACTCCGAAACAAATCTGGTGCATCAGTTTCTTTCCATTCAATGCAAAATTGAATTCTGAATCGGATATAGAGAGTGGCGACGGCGACAAATTGATATATTATGGGTCAGAAAAAATTGTATTGCAGGTGTGTAGAGCTTGCGATGGCGAGATCGTACGACTTTGTGAAAAGACATTGCTCGTAAAGATGTATGAGTTTTGGAGTGAAATTATCGGAAAATCTTGATATACTTCATTTTCGGCTGGTGCTCAGTACTTCTGTAAGTAGAAACAGTTGCATTGGTGAAGAATTTTATTGCACTATGTATTGTTGATGACATTTTTGAGTTTTTAAAGTTTCAGTGCCATATTATGAACTGTGAAATCGTTTCTGTTTTTTTTCAGTTCTGGTGTCACTTGTTTCAGATAGATTATTCTCTGGGTGACTATAGAAACTACGTACGTACTCCATGACTTGAGGTAGGTGTTTTATGCTCATTTTCTTATTGATCCAACATATCTGATATATGATTGATGGTTGCGGTAGCTTCGCATCGATTTATTCTCTTTCTTTTTTTTTTATTCTCAAATACATTATGACAACAGAATGACGAAGGATACCATGTGTATCAATGAGTAAGCATCCATTTTTTCTTTCGGTTTCTACTAGAAAGTTTCGCAATAACTATTCGTTGTGAAATTACAATGTGAAAGATAATATAAGTAGCAGAATTTCATCTTCTTCATTTTTAATTGTTATCATGACTATTACCTCGATGACAATAAACATCGATACACTCTATGATGATTTAATGAGTCTTTGTTCCCAAGATGATGCTTTCTATTACAAAGACATTCGTTTACATGCCATAAATTATCGTATATTCAATCATCGTCTTTGCTCATATGGAAGGTTTAAGACGCGTACAGCAGCCTTGAATAGTTGTGGAACAATGTTTAACATTACAAATTCGAACAATGTAAAACTTGTTTCTTTACCACCAGAGAGAATTTTCGATTATGAAGAAGGTTTCGGTCAAAAACAATATCATGAACGTGGTCGATTAGGAGACAAAATGGAGAAAATGGATGGAGCATTGATGTCAACATTTTTACATGGAAGAACTTCAAAAGAACAAGTCCTTCGACTTAAATCAAAACAATCGTTAACATCAAATCAAGTTCTGGAAGCGATGCAATTACTCGTGGGTAAGTAATGGGATACATACATCGTCATAAGTTTTTAAAAAGTGAGTGAAAGCAGTCTCTCGCCTATCTAAGTTAGAATGAATTACCTTTTATCCGCTTTAAACATTTCCATCTCGCTCAATTCAAAGTTGTTAGATACGGAAACTTTAGTGACTAAGTAGCTCGGGATGCCTTATATTCTGCTACAGCTCTATTAAGTTTGAAGTTTTTGAATAGATTCTATAGGTAGAATAAAAGATCATGACGGAATGACGAAAACATTTAGCGTGATTTTGAGTGATATGGAAAGAATCGTAGTTTAAAAGAAACTTTGTCATAGAAAAAAAAAGAAAAGACGAAAAAAGGATATTCAGTTTGAAGGTGAAAAGAATTTTTTTCTGACAGAATAATTTTTGGGTGTCGGTATAACTTGCACTTTTCAGGAAAAAGTCTCTCGATACGTGGATAGACCACCTATCTAATACTTAATACGAAGTATTCTATGAATTTTTTCCTTGTAGCTGATTGATTGTTTTCATTATCAGGGAAGCGTCGACGAAAGGGTAACTAGTAAGGGTGTAATCTTCCACTCCATCAAGTTCTATGATTATCTCTACTGATTCTGAAACGATTGTAGAATGAAACAGGAGAAAATATTTCTTGTTCTTCGATATACATAAGACAAAGAGCTTTGAAAATCTAAGCCATGATCAATCGAATTCTTACGAAGAAAGGATGATCTAGTAACAAGAATAAAAATATGAAAGAAAGGCCGAGATAAAATGGTTCTTGGCCGTATGTATGATGCATTCTTCTTCTCCATAGTGATAGCATAAATATAATAATTGCTAAGAGAATCAAAACATAATTTATGTGTATTCAATATCTTGATTGTTGTTTTTTAAGATGACTTTAAATGTGAAATCGAACAGCTGGTTCATCTCAACTATACTGTCAATATGGAATATACATCGCCTTCTAATCACGTTTTTGTTTCCTATCCACAACCACAACTCACTATTCTATCTATTCGATCACATACTGATGGTCACACTTTGTTCGGTACTCGATTAAAAAGATTTCTTCTTGAAAATAATTTGCCTATAAGTCTCGACCATCTCGTTCCGTTTGAATCCATTCTACCTGATGTAACACAAAAACAATTACTCCAAGATACTTATCAACAAACTCATGGCGAAGGTTATGTTATTGAGATTATTCAACCTGATCAACGATCCTATCTTGTCAAAATTAAAACACAAAAATACTTTATGGTTTATGGAGACGGTGGAAGCGAGAATTCACCAAGATCACTATTCGAAGCTATCATTAACGGAAATGCAGATGATTTGGCGGCATTGTTTAACGATGATACAGAAACATTAAAGAGAATCGATGAAATGGAAAAAAAAATAAAACCAAAATATTATCGAATGATTGAATTAGTTGAACAATTTTACCAGAAGAATAAACATTTGTCGAAAAGAGATTTCGTTCGATCAATCAAGATGACAGAAGATATGAAGATTTACTTACCACTGTTGACGACATTATATGAAGGCAAGGAAAATGATTATAAAGTGTTTGCAATGAAACATGCAAAAGATCTGTTCGGCATTGGTGGTGAAGGAAATCAACGGACAACAACAGTGAACCAGGATAAGTTAGAATGAGAAAATCAAATTCATGTGGCAATGTCATTGAATCACGAAAAACAAATTATACAAAGCAGCGTTCATTGATAGAAACAGATGCAGATTGATTAAAAACGCATTCTGCAAAGCGCATTTGAATGCGTCTTGTTTTCATTAGCGCACAGATCATCAATTCGGAAACGGTCTCAGTAAAACCACATTTAAACGGCATATTATTACTAATAAATAACAAATTTGAATGATACACTCTGAATCATTCTGAAATTGTTATATTTCTGGGAGATCTTAGAAGAGTTATAGATATGTTTACCTAATCTGCTTATATTTAGTACTTGAGAAGTTTTCGACCATTATATTTGTACTTCCTCTCTCTTTTTCGAGTTTTTCTCATAATCATAAAATCATCTTTAAATATGATAATTTTACCATGACTGAGGGGGACTACTCAAACATGAATTCTCATTAAGCTGCTAAAATTTGTTTGATTGTGGCCCTAAAGAGCAAGTGACCTGTAGTTGAAATTTTGCACTGAATAAACCTTTTAGTTTATAAACGACTCTAGTAGATTTCATCGAGACTGGGTGTCAAAGTGTTTGTAAATGGAAGATATAAACCCATACCTCCATAAGTCCAACAAAAAAATATATAGTTCTGTAGAAAAAAGAACGGTCTATTATTCTATATAAAAATAAAAGATTTCTCTACTCTAGGGGATAGTAAAAAAAACTATCGCAAAAGTAATTTGAAAGTTGCTGGATTCAAGAAGTGTTGATGACTGATTTTTTTAAAATGTGTCCAATTTTTTGGAAGAGACTCAACGTAAATAAAATGAAAACTATATGGTTTGATAAGGTGATTAATGCACTATTCGACCATATCAAAACGAGAAACTTCTACAGATCTGTATAAATACAGCACATTTGGCAAAGCTATTACAAATAACATAATCAAGCTGTTCATGACAATTTGGTCTCAATTAGACTCAATAATTAAATTGCATAACTTATTGACAATTTCATTATTAAAATATCTATGAAGAATCACTATTCTTTTCATTTATGCTCTGACGTAATTCGTTTTACTCCTGTGAAGATTTGATAATTTAATATCAAAACAAGAGATAAGTTTAAAAGGCTTTTCATTATTACTTATTTTATTGAATGATCTAGGTTTATTAATAAGACTTGAGTGTTCTAAAAGAATAAGTATAGAAAAATAATCCGTTACATTTCTCACTGAATCATTAGCTATTTCTGATATCACCTTGAAAACACAAAATATCATTGAGTGAACTAACTATAAATGACGTCTTTAACACAATTATTTCATAGATTTGGAACTTTATATTTTTTTTTAATTATAAAATTCTTGAATGGATACAAGGGAATAAATTATATAAAATATGAAAAGTTTATTAGAAATTGAATCGCTCCAAAATGCTTCGTTCATATTCATCAGCAATCTGACTGCAGATATCTACGATTAGGTTTGTTTTTCGTCCACCAAAAATGATTTCACTTTGTAAAACATCATTCAAATTGGTTCTCTTTGGTAAGTAATCAACTTTAACTTGAAGATATACTTCGTAAAGTTGCTGCTCAGTATTAGGATTAAGCCAAAAATATTTACCCAATGAATCGCGTAAAGCATCCAGGATATGTTGACCGCGACATCCTTGGCGAGGTATGTTCAGATAGATAGGTAAGCCAAACGGAATTTTGTTTGTTTGTCGCCGAAAACTACATGGCATAAGAATATTTGTACAGTTCTTCTCATTCATTGAATGTGGTGTTTCATAGAAAACGATCAAATCACGATCGGAAATACTATTTAATAAATGATTATCGTCGAATGACGAATGAACCCTATTGTTATATACTTCAGTTGGTAAAATGAAATCATATTTTGGGTGATGATTAGTAGTATCTATCGAATTTTGCTGCGACTGGCTAAATTCTTCGATCAGAACATATTGTCGTACAAAACTGTTTATTAGATCACTGATTTTTCCATCTTTCTTTGTCTTAACGTAATAATTTCGAACGGTACCATTCAGACGAACATAAGTGATCTTAAACTCTGTTAATTCATTTTTTAATATAGATTGAGGTTCGAATAATTGACTCTCAATATCAACGCGCCAGATCGGTGTTGTAGCAATAACATTGATTTCATGTGTCATAAGCGAATTCAAATAATTCTCAGTTTCATCAATTGATGTCTGAAGATCAGTAATTTGATTAGCAGATGCATCAGACTCTTGAATCAATTCTGCAATAATTCTTTTACTATTGTTCATCTTTATTAATTGTTCTTCATTTTTTGTAAAAAAAACTTTCCGATACTTATCAAGTTCATCATTAAGTTCTTGATGCTTCTGCTCCACTATTTGATCAATTTTTTCAAGTGCTTCAGTACGCCATTTCTCTAATTGAACAAAAGGTATTTTAAGAATATTATCCGAAATGGAAATATTATCAAATCTTAATGATAGCTCATTAAACTTATCAGCTAATGAATTCAATTTTGCTTGTTTCATATCTTCCGTCAGTTGTGCATGTTGAATTAAATGAATGCGACAAAAATTTTTTGAACAATGATAACACAAAGCTTGTACATCTTTTTTACATGCAGTCCCTTCAGCTTCACATACTTTCGATGATTTATTACTATCCATTCCTGTTAGCACTGGTTATACAGTATTTTGATATAGAAAATGAAGAAGTGTGTGTTTTTATATATGGATAGAACAATAGTACAAAGAATGACCGTCACGCTGGGCGTTGAACAATAGTACAAAGAACGACGACCATGCCATATTTAGAAAAGAAGAGTATTGAAAGATGGCATGATAGTCAAGGGTCGCCTCGATAACAATTCCTCTTATCTAAAATATTTGGTTGATACAACATTTTTTAAGTCTTTTGTGAATCATTTTTGTATAGTTATATATATATATATTGACCACAATATGTGTAAATACATAGAACGAACAATAAATATAGGAGAAATAAACACTAAAAATAGAATTCGAGTGGTACATATGAAACAAACGAAAAATAAATATATAGAATTTGTTTTTCTTTTGTCGAAATAATATAACAACACAAAAAAAGAAAAAAGAAAATAAAGTGAAGTCTAATGATACAAACTTCACAAATTTTGTATTTGAGATGTAACAATTCGAGTCTAAACAAACAAAAAACAAACCGGATCAATTCTATTAATTTCTAGTGAATATAATAACATGTATGAGTTGTATTTTTTATTTCGATTGATTTAAAATCTTATGCATTGAATTTAGAACAATAAGTAAGTTACCAATTTTGATATATGTAATTAGGAAAAGAATAAGAAACGAGTTAGATGAATTTCAGGCCTGTCCAAAATTCCAATAATTTTTTGGCTCAGTCTAAAAACCCGAAATCCTTTAAAAAGTTAGTACACTCTGCTGTGCTTATGTGAATGCATTTTTAATAAAACATAGTGCTAAACAAGATGCCATAGTAGCATACTGTTTTGATACTATTTGAAGAGATGTGCTCTTTTGAAATAATTATTATGTGTATGTAATAAGTGCTAGCGTATAAAGTGGAGTATTCAATATGACTACCAAGTGATGTTCTTCTTATTCACTTTTAACTAATTAAATAAAGTTCGATAAAAAGTATGATCACATGTACTCAGCGTGTAAATGATACGATTGATAATGTGAAGAAGCCGAATAACACGTAATTCAATCTGCTCTAGTCTTTATTCTATCAAAAATCGCCACAAAAAAGTCCATTCATAACTCCATCGAATACGAGTACATATTTGTACTCGCTCACTCATCAATGATATTGTGGATTTTTAAGTAGTTTGTTAGTAGTCTAATCATTGATGACTCCAGCTGAAATATTTTACCTAGGAACTTCTTGTCTATTGACACACAATGCCATTTCTCGAAATGCAATTTGCTGATGAAAACACTAGAGCTATAGTATGATCTAGATTCCTACTACTTATCACTACACTATCTTTCTGAACAGAATCCTAGAACTGTAGTGTGATGTACAATAAAACTTTACGAAGATTAATGAGAAAAATTCGTACCGGGTCGAAATTTTAACCTCACATAACAAACAACTTATTGACTAACTCGTTTTTTTTTTGTTTATTCTACATCTGAATTTTCTTTTTTTTAAAATGATAAAAAAAATTACAACAAAAAAAAAATCATACATTATTTGCAACAGTCGTTCCATTGGTAGTTTCATTTTGTAAAAAAAAAGAAAAGCCAAGTAAAATAAATATTACAATGAACAAATAGTGAATTCAATTACTAGATGAAGAAGCTGTTGTTTCATTCAATGAAACATTTTCTTCATTAGTAGTAACAGATTTTTTACTCGACTAAAAATTAAAAAAAAAAAAAACTAAAAATTATTTCATTTGTTTCATAACATTGAGAACATACTTCAGAATGTGATATAAATGTTGGTAATGATGTTGACATTTTAAAAACTTCATCCCAAAGTCCCGGTAAAAAACTATGTATTCTATCTTTTGTAATCACTGTTAAAGGTTGATCACCATCAAATAAACCAGTTGTATTCATAACTAAAAGCATATTTTTTAATGATTCACGAACAGATTCACGCTAAATTACATAGACAAAAAAAAAAAATTTTTAATTCTTTTATCAAGAACAAAAAAAAACAAAAACCATCTTTCTTACCAACATATCTGTTTGATCAGATTTTAAATATTTATCCATAAAATCAAGTATTGTTAACCAAAGAGCTGTAAATGTTGGTAATGTTAATAAAGGTGAAAGATGTTGAAGAAATATTCGACAAAGTAATTGTGATACACGTACACGTGTTTCTTCAATTCCATGTAAATGATCATTTATATTTGTTGTTTCAAGTAATTTAAGTAATAATGGAAATAATACTTTATTAAAGACAGATTCCCATTCTGTTGGTGATAATATATGAAGTTCAGGTAATAAAACACTTCGTTGAAGATAACCAAGTGCAGATGAACGAACTGGACGACGAGGATCACAACAAAGACGTGCAATACCTTTAACAAAAAAACAAAAATCAATTTAACTCTTTTAAGAATAAATAGAAACGAGAATTCAATTTGTTTTGAATAATAAAAGTAAAGCGTTTCGTATGTTCTAAATTATTTCTCTTGGTAGAAGTAATGAGTATTGTAATTAATAGATTACATATTTACAATAGTCTACACCTACTTAGGGTGTACCAAAAGTTCGTGTCCCGCTATTTAAAGGGCCTCATCGGATGGGTGAACCGATTCAGAAATAAGAAACAAATATACCATCTTGTAGAGCTTTTCGAGCCGCACCGAATGGTATATAGTAAATTCTGTTTTCATAGAACTTTGAAGGACCTAGAGACAATTTACTGATGGACGACTACACATTCACACCCATCCACACTCATGTCTACATTCACAAGATGACCGGAGATGGTACGTATATGAGGTTGTAGCCCGTCAAAACCTCTACAAAGTCGCATGCGAGAAACAATATTTTACAAATGCTTTCAATTAATAACAAGAACCACAATAATCATTAACTTATGGTCCTCGGGTATGGATGCCGATATGGATGGATGTGAATGTGTAGTCATCTATCAGCAAATTGACTCTAGGTTCTTCAAAGTTCTATGAAAACACGATTTACTATATACCATTCTATCCGGCTCGAAAAGCTCTACAAGATGATGTATTTGTTTCTTATTTCTGAATCGGTTCACCCCATCCGACGAGGCCCTTTAAATAGCGGGACACGAACTTTTGGTACGCCCTAAGTACAACGATTAAGAAAATCACTTATGTAATAAATTTATTGATTACATGTACAGAAGTTTTTTTCTTTTTTTCGATAAGATCAGTAGTGTTTAGATATTCAGACAAACATGGTGATGCATATCTAATAGAAAGCATGGTACATCTAATAAGAGAATGATTTCAAATCATCAATCGCTCACTACTGAATTAGATGTTGTGAACCAAACTAACTCCGATTGTTAACATTAGACATTTTCTTAAGTTTCCGGATGCTCATTTTCTGAGCGAATAAATATTTTCTTTTTTAAAACTATTTTTGATCTGTTCAGATTATAGAACATATCGAATTATCGACTCCTCTAGGAAATGATTTTCTCATAAGTTTATTTTAATATCGTTTAATTGATTTATAATTAATATATAATATAATTAACTAACCTTGTAAAATAGGACACCAACATTTATACCATAAAATACTGGATGTAGTTTGTTCGGTTTGTTGTAATGTTGTATGTTTATATATTTGTGATGCTCTAGTATGTAAAGTATGCATTAAATCTAATAATTGTAAAGCAAGTGATTGATATTCTTGTTTAATAGATTCTTGATCATCTTCATCATCATAATCTAATTTTGATTGTCGAGAAATAAATTGTGTTTGTCCTAATTGATTATTTGTTAAATCATTTAAATTTTCATTACTTAATGAATTTGATGATATAGTTTTTCTATATTGTTTTAAATTTTTATTTATTATTATTATTTTTGATTTTTGTTTATATGTTTGTTGTGTAACAGTTGCTTCAATAAATGTTCGTATACAATGTATACAATATTCAAAATTTTCTTCTGTTACATGTGTTGAATCACGTATAAGAAATGATAATGTTTCACATGATTTAATTAAAGCACGACGATCATGTCGAGATAATTTTTCATTTAAATCTATTTTATATTGATTTAATATTGATTGTTGTGTTCGTATTGTTTCTAAATCATCATGTGATACAACAATATAATCAGATCGAGGATAAACCTTAAATAGGAACATTTTCTTTTTAAATAAAACTAAATTTTTCATAAAAATTTACTTCTGTATCACTTGTATAACCTTTATCTATTGTATTAGTTGTAATACAATCTGAATATTCATTATCAGATTCAATATTTGTTGTTGATCGACTTGAATGAATATGTTTATCATTTAATGGATTTTGTATTATTGGTTGTAATACAGGTGGTGGATGTGCAGCAGCTCCAACAACTTCAAGTAAAGAAAATAAAGTAAACCAATCATCAGATTTATGTATATTTGCTGCATTTGTACGAAGAAGTTCATGTAAACCAAATGCTATTTCAGATGATAATGAATGTATAACATGTGGTTTCATTAAAAGTAATATACGAAGTGATGCAAGAATCTTTAAAGAAAACTAGAAAATATTTTTAATATATAAATAAATAATTACTTCAGAAGCTAATTCTTCTCGTCTTAAAAGTCTTGCTGCAATTCTTAATAATCCAACACAAGTACGTTCAACCAAAAATGATTTTTCATTTGCATTAACAAGTATTAAATAAAATTGATGACGTACAGTTGACCAAAATAATGTAACACGATCACGATTTTGTAAAATAACTTTAACAAGTAATTCAAGACAAAAAACAGCAGCATCTTGATCAAATTTTTGTGAATCAGGAGATATTTGACAACCATATATAAGTGCTTTTAAGAATTCATTTAATGAATCAATTATTAAAAATTTTGTTTCTTGTAATAATTGTTCTAAATGACATTCTTCTATACATGCTGTTGCTATTTTTATTGCTTCTTGTTCTTCAAATGTAACTTGTTTACCAGAAGATAATGTA